GATTTGAATTTAGATACAGTTTTTTTTACAGAACTTAGCCCAGTTTTATTGTGTCTTAGTGTATTGTTTATTGCCTGTTGTTTATTTTGCTTAATTGTTTTAAATTGCTTTAGGTTTTGTATTGTTATATTGTGTGTTGAGGCCTTAGCCTTTGTAAGCCACATCAAGTCCTTCGGGAGATGCTAGCAGGGTACAAATAAAGTTTAATAATAATAATAATAATAATAATAATAATAATAATACAAAGCTTGTGTACACGACATCTGTTTTTGAAGTGTCTTTTAACTTTTCGCCAACTTCAGAGCCACAAGAGTTGTTGGACTGCAACTCCCATTATTCCCAGTCTGCATGGCGGGCAATCACAATTTGTCATTCAATAACATCTGGAAACACAGAGTAAAAAACCTAGACCACTATGTTGAAAAAAAAAATACTTGGCCTTCTGTATCCATGAATTCTCTGTCCATGGTTTCAACAGCCCTTTGAAGACAACCATAAGGCTGGTGGGGCCATTGATGAAAATGAGTTTGACATCCCTTCGCTAGACTTGGCGATTTAATTGATTTACCAGCATTTGTTTTGCTACTTCTTTCCTTGGACCATTATGGTCCCAGGCAGTCATTATAGGAAAATCCAGGATAACATGGGGCAAAACCACTTTAATGCCGCCTTGTGCTGTTTTAGCCAAAATCAGGAGATAGTCTGAATTTTGGCACAGTGTAACTGAATGGGCCTACCTTGCAGGCTAGTTTGTAGGAAAATTTCTAGGCCTTGGGAGAAGAGATCTGATCCGAGCTAAAGGAGGAGGGAACAGCCCACTCCTTATAAGGGAGTGGTGTCTGATTGGTGGAGGAGTTAAAGAGTGTTGCCTAGCTACAGAAGATAGAGGGCGCTAGAAAGCAGTAATCTGGGGACTGGGAGAAGGCTGAGGAGGGGAAAAGAAGTGTTTGGAGGTTGGGGGAAAAAACCTCTTGGAGGGGGGGGGGAATTAAAAATAGCCTCTGGGGAGAAGTGTAACATTTTTAGAGAGCCTGTAAGGGAGTGGGTGCTTATATATTAGGAGCCTCTGGAAGGGAGGACCAAGGGGTTTTGAAAAGTCCAGTTTCTTCACCTATGAGTGAACATAGTTCTGCGAAAGACAAGTTAAGGAACCATCTTCTTTTAAAGAAACAACTTGATAATCATGTGAAACCACTAAGCAGCTGAACTTCTCCTATTATCTGAGAAGCCTTCTTGTTCTAGTTCAAATAAATTTCACAAATCTGTTTATACTTCACCACAAGTATTCATTGTGTCTTTCTGTGCATCAATATAAAAAGGGGATCTATCTGGATAACAGCCATCACTCTTTAAGTCGGAGTTTCGCTCCATTTTTGAGTGGCTCTGTGAACTGTCTCCGGTGGTCGGTGGGCCAGTGGGACAGGGAAGGGTGAATGGTGTGCTCATAGACCAATACACTTAGATTGGTGGGAGAGAAGTTAAATTGTCATGTAATTGGCAGACGGGAGGTGAGATTGACCATTGTACACAGCAGTCAGACTGTTCCCTTGATTTCAGGCCCATCTGAACAGTTGCCCTGGTTCCACTCCAGATCTGGCCACAAACATCCTCACTGTCATCCTGTGTTGTGGTGGTCTCCAGGTGTGACACAAGTCCTACCAGTTGACCTTCACCTGCAATGGTGTTGACTAGGGTAACAGGAGAAGGGTTAGGGTAAGGGTTAGGGTCATCACTCTGGCTGTGGACAGGTAGTGCCCATGATTTTACTGCCATTTCTCTGGAAGATGCATTGAGAAATGGAAGGAAAGTTGGGTAACACTTGGGAAGTACTCAAGTCTACTATCTCTCAAACTAACAAAACCACCTCTGAATATTCCTTGCCTACGAAAACCCCATGAAATTCATAGAATTGTCATAAGTTGACAGATGACTCGAGGACACATATGCGCACACACTTAGAGGAAGAGAGAAAACTCCCACATATCTTGGAGCAGTTGCAGAATGAGTGGCAGTAAAATGATTAGCCCCTGTTGCTGACTGCTATCAGTTTCTTCGAACATTCTAGTCAGAACACAGAGTAGAACAAAGTGGGAGAATAATAATGATGTTTTTTCGTGAGATATTAATATTGGAGAGGATTGCTTTAAGATGGTGCAGTACTCTTCATGTCTTAAGTAAAATCCATTGAAATTGCAGCTGAAATGTCTGGAAATGTCAACAACAAAAAGAAGGTTGATCTCACTCTTCCTGCCCTTTTCTGTCAACTTGTCCTTTGGAAAAGATCTATTAAGGGAAAGTAAAAAGTGTAGTGGGAAAATACAGGATGTAGTGGTTGACTTGAAGAAATCACCACCGAGAGCATTTCTTTAGATTTTTCTACTGAGTACATAAGTAGTCCCTTGCTGAAGTGCTGACCTTTCCAATACATCATATTTCTTGATAGAGAACACACAGTATCCTTCAGATATCATTCACTTTTACAGAAGAAGCCTTTTTGTATACATCAGTGGTTCCTAACCCATGGGTCATGACCACAAATGGGGTCATGAAGGGTTTTCTGTGAAGTTGCTGGGCAGTGGTGTGCTATGAAAATTTTAAAAGGAAAAACAAAAAAATCACATCTTGGCTTCCCGCAAAGATTAGTTTTGTAAATGTGCAACAATATTTCATTCATCGAATTAATTGGCTGTGAGGAATGGGGGTGCTGCTCAGCTTGTGATTGGTCAATTTTTTAGTGATGCATGGGTGCTGACTGCCTAGCCTTGTTTCTTATGGGTGACAATGGTTTTTCTTCAATACCACTAAATTCTGCAGAATACAAGAAATCATATGCTGACACAAATAGAATAATCCCACTTCTAGGAATCTGACTGCTAGCACATTGCGCTATTTCCCTTCTTTGGCCAGCTGAGCAGCCAGCCAAAAGTATTCAACCACAGGCCAAGCAGTCCAGACATCACAGTAGCCATGCCAACAGCTCTAATTTTTCATGTATCGGTGCCACAGATCATCTATTTTTAATGTATCAGGGTCAAAGGTCACTTTGCCTCTATAAAATGGGGCCACAACTCAAAAAAATTTGGGAACCATGGGTAGAAATGTTGGAGGATTGTTTTTAGTCTATCAAACTTAAAAATGGAGGAAACGCCACCCCAAATATGATATGGGCAAGTTACTTTTCCTAGCATGAAGCTGGCTGGGTAAATGTTTGCTGTTCTTAGTTTGGATGCAGAACACAGCACAGTTTATGGTTTAGGTTGTTAGTCCCCTACTCACTCCCTTTGTCTCTGCCATTTTATGTTTATTGATGATGTAATCAGAAGAATGCATCAGTAAGTAGCATCTCTTTCATGTAGTTGCAGCTATTTTTCATTCTCTGTTCTCCTATCTGCTAAATATATGTTCCTAGTACAAATCCTTATTTATATTATTATATGGGCACCTGTGCAGATCTTTCAACTCATTTAGCATTCATGCCAGTAGGAGGTGAAATCTGTGTCTAAGGAAAGGATCATTAGGATGTTCTTCAGAATCTTTCTTTCCTGTGGTTCAAATAATGATAGCTCCTTCCCAGTTTATCAGATATTTACATTTTAAATACTAAATGGTCTACCAGATGGGTGGTTTATGAACAGACCTTCAGTTTTTTAACTTTAGTTTTCACACAAGATGTCATACGTTTTGGCAATACTACCTGTGTCTTTGGCAATACTACCTGTGTAATAAAAAAGACATGACTAGTATCAGCATTCAAAGTGTATAGCTACTTGTACAAGGGAACCTTAAAGCTTTGAGAGTTGTTTCTCAAAGAGAAACAATATCATCCGCCTGCTATAGGTCAGATCCATTTTATTTGACAATTTCTCAGCCTGTACATAAACTATTAAAATGTTTATATACCATTAAGTCATAATATAAAACCAGGAAAATGTTATATGGAATGCAGGACCTAAGATTTATGACAGTGTCTACAATTTTTTGTATTGTGGCAAGATGAAGGGAAGGGTTTGCTTAGATATGAAGTAAGGGAGGAATGACTGATGTTTCTTTAACATCTTTAACAAAAACTGCAAAGAATGGCTTCAGGTTAGCCCTGTAAGTTAATACACTAGAGACATTGCTGTTGGTGGTTTTCATCTATGAAATGTTAATCGGTATGTGTCTGTGTGCAACAGAAGTGGGAATTTGCCTGGGTTGATCCTCTATGACAGTGGTTCTCAACCTGTGGGTCCCCAGATGATTTGGCCTTCAACTCTCAGAAATCCTAACCGTTGGTAAACTGGCTGGGATTTCTGGAAGTTGTAGGGCAAAACACCTGGAGACCCACAGGTTGAGAACTACTTCTCTATGGGATCCTGGAAGACTATGTTATCCCATTGGTGCCATGTCTATTCCATCCCCCTCCCCCCAACAACCAAATGTTCCCTAAACCAGTGGAGGGTAAATGTTACTACTGGCCATATCTTGAGGCAACCTTGCCTCTGGTAGCAAAATATTTTTAAACCAGAAAATGATCAAATGTCATGGTCTTCTTGTTTCCTGTAATCAATAAAGGTCATTATAGGACTTTGAAAATGTTACTGTAGAAACCCCTAATCTACTAAGGCTGATAGCTCTTTCCCAAAATGAGGTCAGAGGAAACTCTGGAAGCAGTGTAATGATTGCCATGCATTTATTTTCCCCTTTCTAATTAACCCTGGAAATATATAAAAATATCATTTATTTTTCTATCATTCAGGTATTCATTAAAATAATTGAGAATGTGCTTAAGGAAAAAAAGTGTTGTTGTTGAAGGGACAGAAAAGGGTGCTGTATTTGTTAGTGTTTATCTGCTTGTAAAACTAAAGAAATGTTGTTTTTTCTGTGTTGCCTGTGTGCTGGGAAAAAAAGGCAATTATAGATGGCATTTTAAAGATCCTGTTGATAAGAGTAGGGCAAAAGAGCTTTTTTTCTGAATATTTCCCATTATTTATGATGATTTGTTTTCATGTCCCCTTTAGGTACTATGCTATCTGCTGCCAGCCTTTGGTTTATAGGAATAAGATGACCCCCTTGCGCATTGCTCTAATGCTGGGAGGCTGCTGGGTAATCCCAATGTTTATTTCATTTCTCCCTATAATGCAAGGCTGGAATAGCATTGGCATCGTGGACTTGGTGAGTATATCCCAGTTATCTGTTCTTAAGCAAATTCTCTATTAGCAAAAATCCACGTCTTATGTTGGCCAATGTACTTTCTTTAGAAAATCCGTGACCATTGCACTAAATACTTTTTTAATAGAAGCTCCAAAACATTTGAAATTGCTTCCACATCGTTTATATCATTGCACTGAGAAGCAGGAAAGCAGTTTCTTCTCATGTGATACAGGCGAGGGTGTTTGGGAATGTGTCAGGCTTTGTTTGTAAAATCTGAATCAGACACTCTTTGTTTTGACTCTCGTGTCTCCCCTGTGCTACAGGCAAACTTGTGAGTTTGGCACTGGCTTTTTATTATTTATGACTCTTTGTAAACGAGATGATTATGTCAGACTTGATTCCTGTTTCCTGCTTTACAGAAATGACTGCATCATATGCCTCTGTGAAAATACAATTATTGTGAGTTTAAGGACAATTAAAAACTACCCATGGAATCCCAAAGCTGCAAGTCTCTGTAAAATTATGCTGAATAATTTTCTTGCAGTGAGCCATTGCCAAGATATTGGTGATGCTTGTATTCCTTCAGAACTACTCAGAACTGAAGTAATGCATGCAATCTGAACAAAACTTTCACGGCCGTGTTTGTTAAAGAAAAAGCAATTTAAGTTTTGAGGTGACTAAGGCAAGGAGCATTTAACCTTTCTCTGGTCCAGCATTTTTCTTTTCCAACTTTTTCCGAATCACTTGCCCACACATCCTATTAATGTGGCATTACAGATATACATTTGTCAAAATAATGTGTCTGTAGGGCAACTGCTGCAGAAAAGCAAAAGCCAACTGATTGCTAAACTGCTTTTCTCTTTCTTTTACCCAAGTTTGCTCCATTCCATCATAGATTTCTTTAGCAACAACAGGTTATTCTGGTGCTTTGTTTTGTTACAACTACGTTGTATTTTGTTAATGGGTGGGAAAACTGTAGCCTGCAGACCATGTTTCGCTACCAATCTCCTATCCTTTAACAGTGTTGGATTTTTTTTTTAAAAAAGCAAGTCAAGACCTCTCCACTTTTAAAATGTTTTTCTATCTTTAAAAGGCCATTACAGTCATTTGGAGTTGAATAACCTGATTTGGGAAAAGTGATGCTTTTTTCTCAACCAGAAGTGACTTTGGGTCATTTTTATCAAAATGTGAAGAAATCACCTATTGCAGGCCCTCGAGGTTGTGGGGGAATCAGCAATTTTGTTTTACAACAATGACAGTTTGGGAGGAATCCATGGGGGCAAGTGTCGCCATTCCATGTCTAACAAGGAATACATGCAGCCCCTAGAATTGAGATTTTCTTCTCCTGATTTTGTTACCTACCTTTTGAGACTGGTTATACAAGTCCACTCTTTCACAAGTGTTTCCCTAAAATGGCTAGGGAAACAAAGAGGACACTCTAAACAAAGAGGACGCTCATTAATAGCCTTGAGGCCATTCTACATAAGCCTATGTGACAATGCTGATCTGGAGAAGGGCTTTTGGTTTAGTACCACCAAAACCTACATGGCTGTCTGCCAAAATGACTCAGTGGATGAATGAAGTCTGCCTGGCTCAGTGGTACTGGACCTTGACTGCCATCCTTGCCTTCTCTTTGTCATCTTCAGCTTAGCAGCAATCATTGGGCACAAAACCTGATGGAAGTGGTCCCAAGTCACCTCCCAAGTCACATCCACTAACTCTAGTTGGAGTGACAGAGCAACATGGAAGAAGGGAAGGGGAAAGAAGGGGTCGCCCCTTTCTTTCCCCCATCCTTTTCCAATTGCTTCATTGCTCTGCCTGTTGTCAGTGGATGCAACGAGATACAAACACCTTCAGTTTTGTGCCCAATTATCACTAATAAGCTGAGGACAACAGGTGAAAGGTAAGTGCCATTCTCTATCCTTGGACTGACAATCTTGGGGGAAATGGGATGACTGGGAAAGCAGGTGAAGTCACTTCTGAATTAAAAGTGGCCCAACTGTTTGCACCACCACAAAGTGAAGACAAGCATTTCAAAGCACTCCCTCGACTTTTCTTAAAACATGGGATAAAATCATGTTACGGCAAGTGGACCCCATGCATCAGGTGGACACAATGGAATCCATTCTCCCCCTACCTGACTCACTTGGCATACGCAGATAGGCACTTTCAGTCCAGTGTCCCAAATGTCCATAAATAATTGGGACATTAAGTGATGGTAACCAACGTTGTAATTTCCTGATCTGAAAGTTCAACTTGGCCAGTTCAAAACAAGGAACTACAGAACAAACCAAGCACATTTCTTATCTAAGTGTGTCTCTACATGGGAATATAAAATTAGATTCTGCACATATTTATCTATTGAGTTTCCACAAATGGCATTTATTTGGTGTCCATCATGTAACTTCTATGTGATAAGGCTCAAAAGAAGTTTCCTTAAAGAATTGACACAGACAGAGGACCTTTTTATACTATCCATCACCCCTCTAAGCCTCTGATAGTATGTGGAGTTGCTTGCGCAGTTACACATACACCTTTCAGTCACTCCAGCAGGGAGTAGAGCTATTACACACTGTACAGTGGAGGTGCTTATTTCCCTGTAATACAGCATTGGTAGTTGGGAGAATTCTTGAAAAAACAGATGAATGTTTTCCGAGTTCATAACTTTAATTTTCTAGAATATCCTTCCTGAAGCTAATTTCCTTAAATTGTGATCACTGTAGTCCTTTTTGTTATGCCCATTGTTAGATAGTAGCACCTGAGAAATTAATGTATGACTGATGATTTCAAGAACAGCATCCATCACAATACAGCCATCCTTGGAAATCTTGATATAATTATAATTCTTCATTGTATTCTTGAAACGCTTTTTGTCTTTTATCCCAGAAGCATTTTAGCAGGCTCTTTGGCCTTTAATTCAACATTCTGAAGTAGCTAGAAAGCAGGTTTAAAATAATAAAATGAAGAATGAGATCAGTGCTGAGTTTTAGGTTAAATAAAATTAATAATTCTTAAAGGAGAAATGAATCCCTCCATACTTATACTGGGAATCAGCTGTGATCTGCGAAAAATATTGAGTGCTTCACATAGAAGAGAGATTCAGACTGCCTGCCAGAGTATTTTAGCTAATGTTTTTTTTAAAGAATAATTTCTGCTTCTGTTTATTTCCATCCTTTCATTGTATTCATTTTCTTCCAGTGGAATTTTGCTTTCAATTCTATGCTTGGACAGTTCTTTAAATTGTTCCCTTTTATCCACGAGTGCATTTGCTGTCAATAGAGCATGAAGAATAGAGATAAGTCTTCCAGGAGTCTTTGATGCAGTTTCTTTGCAAATATATTCATGCTCCATTAGAACCATGTAGCTACTTCAGTTGCCAGCTGGATGATGGTGGTGACTTCGAATAACTCTGCTTGTTATACTCAGTGTTAGAGAGAGAACTGTGAGCAAGCATATTTCGCACAATTAGTCAAGGACAACTGTTACAATAGGGTTGGTGGCACATTTCTGTAATATTCACTCATAAAACCTCATTTTTCTTCGCAGTTTATAAAAATGAGCCACCTACCTTTTTTCCTTTATTACCCCACTCCCTTCCCTGCCACTCCTATCTCATTACTGAACACATCTCTCCCATTATCTTTACTTGGAATCAGGAACTGGAGCAATGAAATATTTCTATATTGTGCAACCAAAAGAGTAATTATTTTTGAAGTTGGTTCCAGTGAGGATAACATCACTATATTTCTATAGCTTTCCAACAAATTATGAACATACGCACACACACAACATTCAAAAGAGATAATAGAAATGTAATAGGGTAGGAGAAACATTGGTTAAGGCAAATTAGAGTTGTGAAATAAATAAATAGACAAAATAGGAACACAGTTAGTGGAGAAAATTCCAAAGTCTCTGGGATGCTAACTTTCACTCTTCAGGTGGAAAAAAAGAGCTGAGAGAGAGACAGTAAGTGAGAGCTATACTAAGTTTAGCAGAAAAAATTGTAATGCATTTCTGTTTTTCTTTGCTTTCCTCCCCATCTCTTCAGATAGAGCAAAGGCAGTTCAACAATGTGTCAAACTCAACTTACTGCATATTTATGGTCAACAAGCCCTATGCTATCACCTGCTCAGTGGTGGCCTTCTACATTCCATTTCTGCTAATGGTGCTAGCCTACTACCGGATATATGTTACGGCCAGGGAGCATGCTCACCAGATACGAATTTTACAGCGTGCAGGGGCGCCAACAGATGGGAGGCCCCACCACCCTGATCAGCACAGCACACATCGCATGAAGACTGAGACTAAGGCAGCCAAGACCCTCTGTATCATCATGGGATGCTTTTGCTTATGTTGGGCGCCCTTCTTTATCACAAATGTAATAGACCCTTTCATAGACTATGCAGTTCCTCCTCAGTTGTGGACTGCTTTTTTGTGGCTTGGATACATCAATTCAGGACTGAATCCTTTTCTTTATGCATTTTTGAACAAGTCTTTCAGACGTGCCTTCCTCATCATCCTGTGTTGTGGTGATGAACGATACAGAAGGCCTTCCATTTTAGGACAAACTGTCCCCTGTTCCACCACTACTATAAATGGATCAACTCATGTGCTAAGGTGAGTGACTCTTCTAAACTACAACTGGTTTGAGGAAGACAGGAGGCTGTTATGATGGTTAAAACTAGGTTGGGTATGATGGTTAAAGCAGGAAAATGTCCAGAGGACATTTCTTTAGCCAGGTTATCTTAATGCTGTAGCATTTCCAAGATTCTGCTGGCACTGTAAAATTTGCTTCATCGTGCAGGCTTCCATCCATCCTCCCCCAGCTGGAGACTCTTAATGAGTAGATTTGGCCACTCAGGATTGCGTGCTGTGCACCAGGCATTGTCTGAGAGCAATTAGGTTTTCATTTTGTCAGTTTCTTGAACTGATGAGGAAGGTATTTGTTCTAAACTTTACCTGGGGGTTTGTCCTAATTGGATCTGCAAAACAATTTGCTTACCTAAACCTCTCCCTTTTTGTGTATGAAAAGATGTAATTTTTTCACAATAGGGCCTCAAACAATAACAAGAGTAATGATTTATATCCTTTGCAGACATTTCTCTCCTAGGTATCAGCGTACATTTAAATTATATGCTTTAACAGCTCCCACAATGTATGGCCACTTTGAAGTCATGATCAAGTTACTCACTGCTGGGAAAAAGATACCAAACTACTCTGTAAATCATGGATGGGGTAAAAGTGTGAATGTTTCTTCAGTAATGATAATCTGTGTAAAACAGAAATGTGGGGGCTCAGTGACAAAGAAACCCCAGGCTTTGTGATTTCAGGTTTCTCACCAAACTCTTGAGTTTTTTCTTTCTTTCTTTTTTAAAAAACCAACTGTAAATACATTTTATTGTGCAGGTTTTACAGCAACACAGCAGGCTCTGTTTGCCTGAAGGATGTCGTGACTCAGAATTCAGTCAGCAACTTTATGAAGTTTAAACATTTAGGAGAACGGGGGCTTTTCAAGGTCTCCACTGCCCACATGAAAGGGAGACCCAGTAAAGGATGGAGACAATTAATCACTGTATTAGTTCAAGACATGACTTGGATTAGATTTACAAGGGAAGGAGTATTTATGTGTCAACAAAGCAATTTGCTGAAGCTTACTGTTTTAAAACCTCACAATATTTATTTTGACACTTTTGTATAGAAGCTGTGGAGCTGAGAAAATCCCAAAACAGTGTTTGATAAGAAACTGATTGTCTTCTGGAAATCTTTCATGCTTTAAATGTATCCCAGTGGGGGGAAAATACTTTTCTGACTATGTTAACAGTAATATTTTTTGCAGGTTAGGGTCAGAGGATAAACAAGCTCATTCGGACATATTTCTTCAGGCCAATATTAGTTCTGTTATTCTTCCCTCTGTTTTCCTGTATCAGTGTTTCTTGAGATGCACTGAAGCTTGTGCTAAAATAAATCAAATGTGGGGCTCGGTTTTTCCACATCCCTTTTAATGTTGAAGCAGTTTGTTCAGATATTCTAAAAATATACTGATATCTGTTGATATGGATTCTTTTCTTCTTGCATCGGCACATCTGTTAATAGATTTGATTCTGTTGACATGGTGAAAGGAGAGTCGGACACACAACATACAACATAAAATCCCTTGGGAATAAAGAGGCTGCAGGTTTATTGGACTGCTGTATAGTGGTGGATTAGCATGAGGTCTGGATATCAGATCAAATATTCCAACTGTTATCTGAATAATTCCACCTCAGCCTTGGCTCCCGGGGAAAACAGAGGTGTGAGACCTTGTAGACACCCATCTGCTAGGTGATTCCCTGATTCCTAGTGGGAAGATGTGGCTTTCTACCACCTGAATTGAGCCTAGGCTTTCCTGACTCATCCAATAAATGGGAGGTCCTACAAGGGACCCACGCCCCAGCATCTGGATCCAGTTCTTATGCTGCACCACCAAAGTTGTATATCATTATATCAATACAGAATACAAATGCAAAAGATGTTTCAAGGACATTGTAAGGCTGACAGGTGACAATGCAGCAACAAGACTAATTCCCCAATAGTGAAGCCTCAATTGTATTGGAGGGAAAACTATATGCGTTTTTCTGCCTGGGAATGTCTTGAGACACATCTTTGTACGTACTTCTGTATGTATGTGTGTGAGTGAAGGTGGGGAGGGTGCTGCTGATGTAGATGTATTTTCATAAGTTAAATCCTCATGAAAATTCCTGAAATGATCAGTCAGATTTTTTTTCTTCAGGAGCCAAATAATGTCAAATATTGGCTATGTTTTTGAAACATGCAACAGTAAGCCAGAAGTTTGAAGAATCCTAGATTATGTTTCACAAACAGTGCTCATGCTTACAATCAGATACTTGTTTCTTCTCACTAGCAAGAAAGATTGAATTAAGCAAGAATTGAAAACTTAGGCCAAAATCTTGTATTCCCTTTCTCTGACGTCTTCTTTGGTGCTGCAAACCTGCAAACCTGTTCTGGAAACCTTCCCAACCATTTGGAAAAGGTGCTTCATGTTTCTAAGGTACATGGAAGGGAGGTGGATTGCCCTCTTGCATCTGCATTAAGGTGCTTCCAGTAGCACCATGATAGTGTTGGATACTGCCTTTGGTATAACTTCAGAACCAGGTCTGTCCCTTAAAAACTAGAACTGTGTATCAGGGTTTGCCCTTGGTGTACAATTCCTGGGTTCTTTGGAATTGCGTCCATTTTGGTGGTATTTAACCCATACATAATTATATAGCTCCATAAGGTCATAACATATTCTTGATCTTTTTTCAGTTATTCAGACACATCTCATCCAGTAATAGAAGAGAAAATATGGTATTTGGGGGCAGGAAGAATATACATATCTGTACAAACTGGAAAACATTAATGTAATTTGTATCCATTACTGCATTTACCTATTTAAATATTTGGACTCTTGTGTCCTAAGCTACATTCTACTGAAGGGCTTGCTTGAATGCTTTCAAAACTGTATAGAGTTAAAGTACTAGTCTTAACATTTGGATTGATTCTTGCAATAATAATGATAGGTTTAGGTTTCTGTTTCTTTCAGCTCTAATGTAACAAGTTTATTTAATGAAACATGAGTGATTAAATAAAATAGCATTTATCACAGTCAGGGCAGGAAGTAGAAATTAAAATGACACAATGATTTCAATTGGTGTATCTACAATTGGCATAGGTTTCACTTAACTTGATTGAACTTTGTGGAAGGTCTTTGTGAAATACTGTAACTGTTCCATCTGTGTTATTTGAGAACACAGAAATGCTGGACCACTCTAACAACTACCATGTCAGACTACACAGAGAAGCCATTGAAATCCACAAGTATGTGGACAATTTCAACAGAAAAGAAGAAACAATGAAAATGAACAAAATCTGACTACCTATATTTAAAAAACTCTAAAATCATAGCAGTAAATAAAGAACAATACTTAAAAACAGGGGAATTCCAGACAAGAAACAATCAGGGCCAACTAATCACCTCCCAACAAAGGATTCCCTCAGGCAGTAAGAAGTAAGACCTTGAAACTGCTAGGCCATTAAATGCTCATCAAGGTGGCCAATTAAATCACTTATACCTACCTCCAACAGACAAGAGTTGTTTCTCCCACCCTGGACATTCCACAGATATATAAAACCTATTTTCCTAGTTTCCAACAGACCTCACAACCTCTGAGGATGTCTGCCATAGATGCAGGTGGCCCTGAAAATCTGAATTCATTTTGCATTCTTTTATTACTCTTTACCTATGTTAAGCTGTAGCCTCCTATTGCATGATGTATTTTAATTTTACCAGTTAGAGCACTCATTTTTCTTTTTGAGAGAATTCTGTGGGAAAGAAGGCATTAAATATTCGACACATATGCTTAGTTGGTCTCCATCCAAGTCACTGATAGAGAAGTCAATCAAATATCTATGTCATTGAATTTAGCGCCTCAAGGAAAACATTGTGAATTTGAGGAGGCAGCAAGAGTAGTGGTTGAATAAACTTCTCCATAACTTTATTAACTATAGTTTCAGGTAGTTGTCTATAAAATGTAAAGACCTTAACCTTTGTTTTTCTTCTCTCAAGTCAGTGATTATCACCCACACATTAAGACAAAGAGTTCATACAGTGTTGTAATTATGAACTTTCTCCTTTTCCTGTCAAATTGTTGGACTAGTTTGAAGTGTCTAGAGCTTTCATGCTTCTGAAGACGGGTCCTTCTAAAGATAGCTCCGGAGTCCGTGAATTTCATTTGTGGCAACATCAAACAATGTCCTCTAATGAATAAGGAAAACAGAGTTGCTGTGAGGGAGATGAAAAAATATTAGAGCACTCAGCATCAATCTGATACCCTGCTGTTTTTAGAGTGACCTTTATGAAGTCTGTGAGTCAGAGCCATAATTTTCTGGGCTGCCTTGATTTTAGGTTTCTTTATATTAGCTTTTCCTCCTACATAAAACACTGAAAGTAGCTTGGCCTTCAAAATAAATAGAGTAAGAGATTTCAGACTGGTTTCCACCTTCAGCCTATTGGTCTCTCTTGCTACTAGCCCAATAAAATGTTCAGCTCTGGATATTTTAGAGTATTTCCTAATTTGTTGGCTTTACAGTAAGTCACCATCTCCATAGACTAGGTACTCATTCGGTTTTATAATGGTAAAAATCCTACTTTCAATGTGGCATAGAAGCCAAATTTCTTTTCTTTATATAGAAATAGTCTATTATGGGATGCTTTACTTTTCAGTGCTCCAGACTCACTCTCATCGCTGCATTTATGCCCTCTCTCTTGTACACACACACACACACATAGCCTAGTGATAACTTGTACATAGTCCAGCGCAGACAAGTGTAGAAGTGCCCCTTTCCACCAATGTTTAACACAAATGCCAATTAAGCAATATTTCCATCTAAGCCACTTTCAGCTCTGAGCAACTATATCTGGACTATTATTATTTTCTTTATTATTCACATGCACATTTCCCCAAACCTGGGGCCAAGACTGCTGTAATATGACTGCACACTCCAGAAAGACTTGAGAGAGATAATAGTCCTGATGCCCTATTGAATGTACTAATCTTTTGCTCTGTTTTCACCACCAC